CAGCCTTGCAACTGGCACAAAGTGAGTAGCCAGCCCGTGGCCCTTTAAGGGCTCCGGGGCCGGGAGGGGGGCAATAGAGTTTCCCTGGTGTTGGCCAGAGTGGCCACCAGGGAAACCTGGGAAGCCTTAGCCTCCCACTAGTTCGAATTAAGGGTCTACACAGCCCTTAATTCGAACTAGCTAGTTCGAACTAGGCTTAATCCTCGTAAAATGAGTTTTACCTAGTTCGAACTAAGCGCTCCGTTAGAATTAAATTCGAACTAGCGGAGCACTAGTGTAGCGCCTATTAAAGTTAGTTCGAACTAACGTCTGTTAGTTCGAACTAACTTTGTAGTGTAGACATACCCCAAGTGAGCAGCCAACAAGTGATGCCAGAAGTGGGGAAAAGATGACAGCACAACTCCCAGTCTCTGGGAGGAACTCCGAAGGACAGTGCCCCCCATCACAGTCACTGGCCCCCATAACCACACTCCTATGTAAACATGCCATGGGAATAAGCAGGAGCAAAACCCAAAAGTTTTTGTCCATGGACTTTGGGCTACAAAAAGCCAAAGCTGAGATTCCCAAGGCCAGGCTCGGCTGAGTGATTGCCAAGACAGTGGATTAGTAGATCTGTATCAAGGGGGACCAGAACCCATCTCTGATTGGACATAAGGATGGGACGCTGATGGCTGGCCAGACCCCTTTGGTCATTTCTTTGGGGAGCCCTGTGTGAGAACTCACCTCTGCCTTGTGGAAGCCATTTGCCTGTAGACTTTAGGGAGCTTTTTCCCTGCACCCAGACCAGAGGGTGAACAATTTAAGAATCAGGGGGTATGTCTACACTAGCCACCCTAGTTCGAACAAGGGTGGCTATTGTAGTCATTCAAGCTTGCAAATGAAGCTCGGGATTAAAATATCATTGCAGAAGGAGTAACGGTAGTCCGAATTAGGGGCTTTAGTGCGAACTACCTAGCCCATACCGCGTGTAGCTGCGGGCACAGAGTTCGAACTACCGGGCATTTAAAAATGGTGGCACCCGGGAACATGCTTTAATCCCGGGCTTCATTTGCAAGTTTGAATGCCTATATTAGCCACCCTAGTTCGAACTAGGGTGGCAGTGTAGACATACCCAGGGAGATCACAGCAAGGGTCCAGAGAAAACATCAGACCATGGCCACCAGGACTGCTGAGGCCTCAGTAACCTCTAGGCTCCAATCTGAGAAGGCTGCTACCCCCTTCCCGGATGTCTCATTTCTGACAATCTCTGGTTGCATCTGTCGGCCTCCTCTGCTTATCCAATCAGTGCAAACCTCAATCAGCTTTGCAACTGGTCCAGTTGGCTTCAAATAAAGGCAAAAGATACAGAGCAGTGTGTGAAGGGAAGGCGACTGACCTGTGCCTGGATTGTAGCCAAACTGCAGCAGGGTATCCAGAGCCAACTGTTTCCCTTCTGTCATGATCCCTTCCTTGAGCCGTAACTGCCAATAACAGCACCAGCATTCTAGGTGTGACTGGCTCCAAAAAGGGAATTTGGAGGTCACGGCACTTGACATGATTATAGAGAAAAAGTGAGCATTCCTGGCACAGGCTCGGCGTGGCACCCTGTACCTCCACACAGAACCTTGGAGCCCCAACATTCACCCTTGCGAAGAGCTTTAGTCTGTTTCATACAAAGCCTGCCCTATAAAATAGCACATGAAAGGTCGTGAGCTGCTAAAACCCATCGATCAGTCCAAGCTTGAGTGTGTGTTGGAAATTACGACTGTGTGCTGAGTGGTTGTTACTGAAAGACCTTCTAAGTTTGATGGTCTTTCAGTGCTCAGTACTGTTCAGTGGTGATCCACTCGTAGGAGTGTTACTCAGTGCTTTTTTTGTGATGGTACACACCGGTACAGCGTACTGGTGCCTTTTGGGGGAGCAATCGTGCCACACCGCTGTCCCCTGGCACAGCCCCCAGCCAGCACTGGGAGTACTCGCACCGCACATACCAGCACCTTTTTTTTTAACAATGGGGTATGGCTCAGCCTGTGATTCAACTCTACAACTGTGGATTCATTGAATTACTTGGGAAATCTGAGCTCCGGTTTAAAGGTGGGTGTGTGCCCTCTCCACATTGAGGGAAGGACAGGCAGGGTAATGAACTTACACTGGTCAGGCTTCTGAGCCAGACAAGACAGCACAGTTCTGAGCTGCCTGGCCAGGTGATTGGGAGATTTCCTGGGGTCTTTCTCTGTGTGATTTCTTGTGAGAAGCTCAGGGGCATTCATGCGATCTAGCTGTGTCTGGAGTGACACCTGCCGTCATACTGAGTGATAAGAGTTCCCGTACGGGGTTGCTGCTTGTGCATTGTGAGAGACAGCTTGGGCTAAAGAGTTAAGGGGGCATAGTCTTACCCCTGTACCCCATGGGTCCCATCTCGCTGTGGAACAAGGACTGTTTGTGTCATTAAACACCAGTGAGGGTGTTTAATATTCATCAGGATGTTCTGGGCTGGTTCTCCCAAGGAAGAGCTGACTTCTTTGCACGTAAGGGGCCTAGAACTCTCAGAGCCCACAGACAGAATGGGACACAAGCCAGGTTCACTTTCTGAGACTGCACCTACTGGGGCTATGCTGGGATTCTTAATATGCCACAGGCTGCAGGGCAGCAAATCAGACCATTTATTGGGATACAAAGTCAGACCAGGCTTTGGACAGAAGGAAATACCTAAATGACAAAAGCACCAGGGGGGAGGAGTCACAAGAGTAGAGGTTAATGCTGCTTTTGCTCAGAAGCCCCAGATCTATGTGCATAGCTAATCTCTGCCATGCATCCGTAGGGTTTGCACCCAGATGATCAGGCCCTGGTTCCCAAGGCCAGGCTCCTTTTCAATAGGGTCTTTATCTCAGCAGGGGTTTCAATACCACATAGCCCTTAACCTGATACTGCAAAGCGCCCCAGCTCAGGACAGAGGGTGGCAACTGGGAATCAGCGCTGGCAGCCCGCACAGCATCCCTCGCGGTGACCAGGTCCCACATATTCACTTTAGTAAGTTCCCCTACAAATGACTGCTTGGCATCAAACCCACCCCCAAAGGAGTCCTGGTCCTGCCCCAGGACAATCATACCCTGGTTGCTGATGGAGTAGCCTTTCTGCAGCCCCTTCCTAGGTAAGGGATTCCAGTTCACCCAGAGCTCGGCTATGCCAGTGGCAGATTCCCAGCTGGCACAGACGTGCTCCCACCATCTGCTTGAGCCTGTGTTTTCTGGGACCGTGAAGACCACCTGTTGCCCCCCAACAGTCAGCGAGAGCACCCCAGGTTTGTCTTTGAAGAGGAGGATCTCGTTGTCCTTGGCTCTGGTCGCATAGGAGAAGAGACTGTAGGGTCGGGTCAGGTCTGTAAAGTATCTGAGACACACGGTGAAGTTCTTCAGGGGACCGTTGTGATTCATGTTCAGGATCACATGGGCATCAGCAGATTCCTTGGGAAAAACAAACACCTGCCCTTCGATATCTGTGTGGGGACGTGAAAGGCAACGGCTGAGATCTCATCATGCTGACAGGTTCTTCTTAATATAACTTTCTTATGTTCCCCAGGGTATGGCTACACTACCCCGCTAGTTCGAACTAGCGGGGGTAATGTAGACATCCGCACTTGCAAATGAAGCCCGGGATTTGAATTTCCCGGGCTTCATTTGCATGAAGCCGGCCAGCGCCATTTTTAATTGCCGGCTAGTTCGGACCCCGTGCCGCACGGCTACACGCGGCACGGACTAGCTAGTTCGGATTAGGCTTCTAATCCGAACTAGCTGTACATCTCGTTCTTTTCCAAGGCCCACCCCCATTCACTCCATCCCCCCCACAGACACCGTTGCTCACTCTCCCCCACCCTCACTCATTTTTACCAGGCCGAGGCTGGGGGTTGGGTCAGAGGAGGGCAGGAAGGCCCTGGCTTAATGTGCGGGTTCTGGGGTAGGGCTGGGCATGAAGGATTTGGGATACAGAAGGGAGCTCCAGGCTGGGATTGAAGGTTCAGCGTGTGGGCTGGGGCTCCAGACTGGGACAGGGGTTTGGAGCATAGGAAAGGGTACAGACTCTGTGCCGGGGATGTCGGCTCAGGGATGGTATTAGAAATGAGGAGTTCAGGGTCCGGAAAGGAACTCCGAGCTGGGGCAGAGGATTGTGGTGGGGGACGGGGTGCCAGGAGGCAGTTTGTGTACAGGATGAGGCTCAGTGCTGGAGTAAGGATGTTAAAACGTGGTTAATTGACTAGTTGTTGATTAGTCAACTAGTTGATAAGCACTTCCGCATTCCTCCTTTGAAAGGTACAAGATCCCCCGCTGGGGCTCTTGTACATTTCAAAGGAGGAATTGTGAACTCCACGTACAGCCTGGGGCCAGTGGGAAGTCCTGCTGACTCCAAGCTGCATGCAGGTGCCTTCTTTGAAATGCACAAGAATCTTCTGCATTTCAAAGCCATGGTGCCCGGGATCAGCGGAGGACTTAGAGTCCCCTTCTGACCCAGGCTCCATGCTACCCTGCATGCTGCTAGGAGCTCGGGGTCAGCTGGGGAGTATTGTGCAGTTGCATAGTTCAAAGGGACAGCCAACACACAGCAGATCCGTGCATCAGTTATTCAGCAGCTGTCCCTTTAATCCATGCATCTGCGCAATTCAAAGGGGCAGCTGTGGGAAATCCAGCTGACCCTGGGCTCCCCAGGAAATGCCGCAGGGAGTCCGGGATGGCATCTAGCAGCATGCAGTGTAGCATGGATCCCGTGGTCAGCGGAGAACTTTGAGTCCCCCTCTGATCCCGGGTACCATGGCTTTGAAATGCACAGGAGCCCCCGCCGGGGACTCTTGTGCATTTCAAAGAAGGCACCCGCATGCAGCCCACAGTCAGCAGGACTTCCCGCTGACCCTGGGCTGTCCACGGGGTTCTCAATTCTTCCTTTGAAATACATTGCAAAGGAAGAATGCAGAATTGTCTATCTACTAGTTGACTAATCCATGGAAATTCCATCACCTAGTCCACTAGTCAATTAGCTGCATTTTAACATCCTTAGTCCTGCCTCTCAGTGTCCAAGGGAGGAGTGTGTAAAGGGTGTGAAGAGGCCAGACACACCAGAGGGGGGACACAGAGTCTGGGGAACTTCAGGCAAAATTCCCAGCCATAGAAACCATGAAGTGCATCCTCTTTAGCAGAACGGTTATCCTGCGTTTTTGGTCTGCCCACCCCGCCATCCTTGTCTCCGGGTCATAGTCAATTCTAGCCCTTCTCCCAATTGTACTTGGCCCCTGCAGCTTCCCCCAGGCCTGCCCATTCCCTGACCAGTAATTAACGCTGTCCCCCAATCTCTCCTCTCACTGTAGGCCCTGCCCCACTTTTGCTCCTCCCAGATCTCTGCAGCCCCCTCTCTAGACCTGGATGCAGCTGCAGAGGAATCCCCTCCCCTGGCAGGGAGTGGCTCAAGGGGATCTTCACACCCTTCTGGCTCTTCCCAGGAAGGGAAAGCAGTGGACCAAGTCAGTGGTGTAATCCCGGCCTCAGTAGCTCCCAGGAGGGGAGGGGGCAGAGGCGCCCAGAACTACTGTGAGGATGGCTTTGGGTCGTCATGATGGGGCGCTATGGCTGCAGAATCTGTGATTGGTTTTTCTGCCGCAGGAGGTGGGCAAGTGGGACACGCAGACCGGATCCAGTTTCCTTGGTAGTGTGAGGCAGCCGTTCAGTTACCCTCTGGGGCCCATGCTCAACTGAGTCATTCTCTGCCCAGCCAGGGCTTGGCTTCCTGGTGTGGATGGCTCTCCCCCTACCTGTCTGGGCGACGGCTCCTGAGACGCCAGCAAGGATGAGGATCCACAGTTGCAGCTTCGCCATGTTTTTCACCTGCAGAGTGACCAGAACGCTGAGAAGGGAGGTGGGAGGCTGCTCTGCCCGAATCCTGCGCCCAGGCAATGCCAGTCTGCAGTGCAGGGACCTGATTTATCCCTGAGGGGAGGCAGGAGGAGAAATGTGCTCAGCCAATCCCGTCCCAGGGTCAGAGTCTGGAATTCCCCTTAGGATCCGGAGCTTGTCACATCCCCACCCCACAGCTGTTGTTTCTTCCTGTGCAGGGCAGATGTCTGTGCAGCCAGCACTGCCCATTTACAGAGAAACTCCCTATCACAGGTAGAATCACAGGGTTTTCCTTGGACCTGTCACTCAGTGTGTTGATCATTGCACTGAGCCTGGTCACCTGCTTTTGGAGGCGTCCAATCACGCTCTCCTCCTGGCCCCAATGTTCTGGTCTTCCCCAGCCAAGGCACAGAGGTGGGGTAAAAACCCACAAGCAGAGAAACACACAACAAACCAGCTCAGCTCTGGGAGGTCTCCATTACAGAGACTAGCCCTCAAAAGGGACCCAAATCCCAAATAAATATTTTGCATTCCATATAAATGTTTTATTCAGAGAAAGCTCATAAATTCTCCCTTTTTATCAATAAAAGAGGGAGATGCACAGTGGTTGTTCCTTCTCAGGTAACAATTATTTACACTGGGCTTGATATGAAACTAGTGTTTTCATTAAGTGTCAAATAGTGGGATTTAAGTAATTGCAAGTGAAAACAGACAGATCGAGGTAACTTACTAAAGCCATGTCTATACGAATACAGAAATTCGAAGTAAGGGACACAACTCCAGTTGTGTTAATTGCATAGCTGGAGCTGAAATCCCTAAATTTAAACTTTGGTAATGACTTCCATTACTGCTTATGATTCCAGGAGTACCATTATCAACCGGGGCCTTCATCAAACTCCCATGGGGGCCAGTAGAAGTCCCTGAGGGGGGCAGAAGAGTTTCCCTGGTGGTGCCCAGAGTGGCCACCAGGGCAAGCTGGGGAGGGCTAGCCTCCCACTAGTAAGAATTAAGTGGCTACACAGCCCTTAATTCGAACTAGGCGTTAGTCCTCGTAGAATGAGGTTTACCTAGTTTGAATTAAGCGCTCCTCTAGTTCGAATTAAGTTTGAACTAGAGGTTTGCCTGTGTAGCGCCTATCAAAGTTAATTCGAACTAACGTCTGTTAGTTCGAATTAACTTTGTTTTGTAGACATACCCTGACTTAGGTTCTCAGAGCTCTAACTGGGCCTATCATGCCGAATGTCTAGTTCTTAGCACGGTTGTTTTAGACACAGCAGTCCAAGGATATGAGAGAGACAAGGAGGGTGAGGTAATAGCTTTTACCTGACCACCTTCTGTTGGGGAGGAGGACAAGTTTTGGAGCTTCCACAGAAGTCTTTAGCTTCAGGGAAGGCAGTCTGAGCATTACAGCTAAATGCAAGATGGGGCAGCTTGTTGGGCATGAGGAGTTAACATGTTGCAGGGAACCATTCAATATGAACAGAGCAATTCACCCCTCTGCAGTTGTAAGGGAAAGGAGGTTATTGAATTGCAGGTTGTCGGAATAAGCCATAAATCCAAAGTCTTTCTTAAGTCCCTGATTTTTGGTTCCTCGCAAAGCAATGAATTTGTGTTCCCAGACCGGTCCATTTGAGGTGATTTTGTAGGTTTCCTGTGAAGACCAGGACTCAGAGGTCAACAATAGAGAGATTGTATTGTGAAGTGCTCACCCTGGGGTGCTGTCGTGCCTGCAATTGGTCAGTTTCCTGGGGTTTTTTCCACTGGGGTGTTTAACGTGCTGGTTGTGATGCATCACATGTTCGGTGAACAAACCGTAGAGCTAGGCATGCCGGTTTAGTATCTGTTGTTCATGCTGGATCTGGTGCTACTGGTGGGTCCTGCCCCGAGGAGAGTTTGCTTCTGATGATGAGCTTGGCGAGGTTGTGGACAAAAGAAGAAGGGAAAGATTTCTTTCAGGACCTGATACCCATTGTGTGTGGGTTGTAGCTGCTTAATGATGCCCCATAAGGGGGCATGGGAGGTGACAAGTGCAATGGGAGGAATTTTTTCCCATGTTGAAGCAGGTTCTCTGAGGGATATTTAGCTACATGAGCTACGTGTCAGGTGGGGAGCCCTTGTTTGCTGAGGGTGGTTTTGCGTGCCTTGGGGTGTGTTTTCCTCAGAACACAGTCTGCGGTGTGTGAGGGCCTGGCGACAGAGAACAGACTTCTGGGTGTGTTGGCTCTGTGAGGGTAGGCGTGATGAGTCCCGTGCACACTTATCTCTTGCAGTAACAGAAGTTGGTTTGATCAAAGATACGACCACGCCCACTTTGTCCCTAGTTCTGAGGAACAATGGGATTTGTGCCAGACAACACAGCGCTGTAAATGACCCTTCTGCAAACAGTCTTCTTGTTCCATGGAACTGTGCAGTTATTGTCCCGGATCTCCAACATCATTGGCTACCTGGTGAGGAAATATCCCCAATTCAGGCTCTCAGCAGCTCAGCTGGGCTTCCTCTCTTTTCTTGTAACCTAACCAATTGCCGGGGGACTTTACCCCTTGTGCAGACAATCCCGGGGCTCTGGCTGCGGTGGCCAGTGGCTGAAGATCAGTTGTCCTCCCTAGGGGGAGCTGGCAGCTGGAGCCAGAGAGCCCAGCCCTGCCTCCCTGGGAGGAGCCACTGTATGGGGGAGGGGGAGGAATGGGTTCAGACAGACTGGCTGGTCAGGGGCCCAGACAATCTTACATCCAGGAACTGCCAGTTGATGGGGGCTGAGCATTGCAGCTCCAGCCCCATGGGATGAGCTGCCCCCCTTTGCACTCCAAAGTAGCTCACAACTAGAGCAGCACCATTCTCGATTCCCTGAGCTCTGCATCTCCCACCATCCTGTACTTAACCCCCCCCCCCTCCACACACACACACCTCTCAGCCCCATGCACTGACTGCTGCACTCCCATCCACTGCCCTCAGACATCACAAGGACCTAGGCAATGCAAGGGAAATCCTCTAGTAACTAATCATTGGTAAAAAAAAATAACAATATATACTTACCAATCTGTGCTTACTGCTCTTTACAAGTGTCTGCCTCGTCCTCTCCTTGCTTCCTCCACAGCAGGATGCTTCTCGGGGACTGTGTTTGTCAGATGAAGTGATTTTTTTGAAGGATCTGCTTGTTTTTCAGCAACTTGTCATGAAAACGCAGCACAGTCTCTAGGGCAAAATTCACTCTCGCAAACAAAATAGCCTTCACAGGGAAAAGCATGGACACACGATTTTTCAAGTAACCAAAATGTATTAATTACTTTAAAGACACATTAAACACAGGCTGTGGGGTCTGGCAAAATCAAACTCAACAGCCTTTGCCAGATCTGAGGATTCCACTGCCTTGTTGTCCATCTTTGGAAAAATGTTCCACCCCCTTTCAGAAATGGGGGTTTTCTGAATCTTCCAGTCAGACGTGACAGGATATTGTTGGTTTTCCATCTGACCATTCATCAAAAAGATGATTTTCATCTATCAGACATAAAGTGGGAATTCTTGTGTGGCAAAGGCAAGACTGCTTTGTATAATACCCCACACCAGCATGCTTCTCAACAAGGCCCACTCAAGCATTTCTGTGCACTCAAAGGCAGCTTTCCAGGATTCCAGCTGCTTCAGAGATGTTGAATAACAATTTTCGACTGCCTTGTAAAATTCCTGTTCTTTAATTTCCCCACCCTCGACCAAAGACAGCAGCAGGGTCTCGATGTGTGATATGGCTAATCTTCCTCTGAGCCTCATGCTAAATTATTTTGAAGGTATGGATATGTAGTGCAACTTCTCCCACCGATGAGTGGTTTTTCTTGATTGCCTCTACCATCTTTGGAAAGGTGGCTGTTTGCTTACTAGCAAAAGCAAGCCCCAGTTTTGTGCAAAGGTCACTGAAAACTTTCTTGAATACTGTTGAGCATATGCCTTGAGTGAGAAAATATGCCTTGTGCTCATCAAAAATCAACAAAATTCTGTCTAGCCCTGGTCCCAGAGAAGGGAATTGTGAGCTGCCATTCACTAGCGATTTAAAATATTCGAGGTCAACAAATTGGCAGAATTCTTTCAATTCTTCAACAGGAACAGTGTAAAATATTTATAAACTTTCACAGGAAAGGACTCCAAATCAAATGGAACGCAGTCAGCGGCTGGTCGCAAGCAGTTACGAATGATGTGAATACCACAAACAAAGTCAAGGATCTTCCCCTAGTCTGACTTGCAGTTTTCGCCAGACGTTGTTTTCCCAGCACACTTAGCACCACCAGTATGTGTATTAGCACTATCTGCAAAAAGCCCAACAAACTTTTCACTAAAGGTACGTCTACACTGCAGAGCTGAAGTCGAATTAAGCTACGCAACTTCAGCTATCTCAATTGCGTAGCTGAAGTCGAATTAGCTTAATTCAGCTTTTGGCGCTGTCTACACAGCAGGAAGTCCAAGGAAGAACACTCTTCCTTCAACTTCCCTTACTCCTCGTGAAATGAGGGTTACTTGGAGTCGTAGTAAGAAGTCCTCCAGCTCGACATTATTTTGAAATAAAGGTGTGTAGTACCCATGTGCACTATGTTATGTCAGAATCGTGTCAGTTATTCCAAAATAATGCTGCAGTGTAGACGTACCCTAAGAGAAGGCTTCCCAATCTCTTGATATAGAAATCCGCACTGCGCATCAGAAGTTTCCCATGGTAGAGAAGAAAACTCGTTAATGTTTGGGTTCACCCCATCGGACGGAGCAGCTCGGGACTGTGTGTGGCCAAGAGGTAGCTCAGGGGCCAGGATGGAGGAAGTTAGGGTTTGTGTTTGGCCAGGGGGAGCTAGGGGTTGTGTGCAGACAGGAAGATACCTCAGGGCTCAGGAAAGGGGTATCTAGCAGCTGTTTGCCAGGAGAACTTTCTGGTCCCTCTGGTCCCTGCCATGGTTTCTGCCCGCCATGGAGCCACCCCTGTGGCTCTTACCAGCTGTGTGAAGAAAGGAGTCTGGGAGCTGAGGAGGGAGCAGGACAGCTGCCTGTGCCATGGTACCAACCAGAGGAGCAGCTGCCCTGCCCTGCTCTGTCTTCCCTTGTCCAAAGTGGACAGTAGGTGGGGAAAGAGGAGGGGTGGCTCTGTCCCCAGAAGTTTGGGAAGGCAACATCACACACACACAGCTCTGCCCATGGGATTGGGGGCTTCTCCTGCATGGGGAGCTCCAGGGCTCCAGGGTTCAGCGCTGCTGCTCCATGCTTCAGTTTGGGGTGGGGATCGGGGCTCAAGCTGCTCAGCTCCTGCTTTTAGCCTTGAAGGGGTTGCTAGGGCTTGTGTCTTTAGCCCCTTGGGGGGGCAGGGAGGGGAGTTTCAGCTGGAGGGAGAAGTGCTGAGGATCAGGGCTTCACCCTGTGTGGTCCTGGATATTCAGAGAGCACCCTGCAGAACAGGGCTTCAGCCTGAGTGCACTGGGAATTCAGTGCGGGAAGAGCCTCTGAGTATCAGCATATGCTGGGTTTGGTGGCTTCAGTCCCACAGCCTGGAAGTGCTGGCAGCCCCCGCCCTGGGGAACCCCGCTTTAGGGTGCCCACGGGGAGGGGTGACCCACACCCCTCACTCACTTCCCCCCCCCCTCTTACCTCTCTATCACACACAGGCTGCCTCTCCTGAGAGAGCCCCCTGCTGGCCACGGTTACCCACTGGCCAGGAAGAGAAGGCTTCTGTGGCTGAGCTGTCCATGAGGGACCAGCAGGGGGAGCGCCGGGCAGAAATATAGGACAATTCACCCATTTTTTAAAAAGTCGAGACACCTGCCAGAGGGCTTCAATATGGGACTGTCCCATTAAAAACTGAATTAGGCCACGAAGCCCAGTCGGGTAATTAGGCTGCATGCAGGGGGATTTAGGTTGGAGACAGTTAATTAAGGACAGGCTCACCTGTATAGGAACAGACAGGACCTGTATGAAGGCAGATTGCTGGCTGCTGTTACTCTCTGAATTGGAGTATGGAGGGGAGGAGAATTGGAGGGTGTCAAACCCAGAGAGGGAGGGAAGCCACATATGTATAAAAAAGCTCAGGGAAATAGCAGGAAGGGATAGGTTTATACTGGGACTATGCTTGCTTATTATAGGGACCCTGGGCTGGAACCCAGTATAGGGGGTGGGTCTGGGGTCTCCTGCCAGCCACTGGGAAATGAAAGAGCATTGATGACACTACCTAGACAGCAGACCAGGCAATACTGTGAATTCCCCAAAAGGGGAGGAGTTTTGTGATCTTTCACAAAGAGGGAAGCTGCAAACCAGGCAGTGAGCACAGGGCAGCCAAGCAAGACAAGCTGAGAGAACACAGGGGACCAGGAATGCAAGCTGGCAGAGCTAATCCCCAGGGTGGCCTGCAGGAGGTGCTATTCTCCGTGAGTGCCTCCCTCCCCCGCGGCCCCAGGCTGAATCGAAATGCATAGCTCAGAAAGAACAATAAGAGACCCATAAAGCTGCCTCCCCGCAGAGCAGAAGAGGTGGTTAGAGTCCAAAAGGCATTCTTTAAAAACTGGAAGTAAAACCTTAGGCTATGTCTAGACTGCAGGCTTCTTTCGAAAGAGGCTCTTTCGAAAGCATCTTTCGAAGGAGCCTCTTTCAAAAGATCGCGTCTAGACTGCAGGCGGATCTTTCGAAAGAGAAATCCGCTTTTTCGAAAGAGAGCACCCCGCGAGTCTGGATGCTCTCTTTCGAAGACGGCCTCTTTACATTGAAGAACGCCTTCTTTCAAAAGAGGAACTTTCGAAAGAAGGCGTTCTTCCTCGTAAATTGAGGTTTACCGCCATCGAAAGAAAAGCCGCGTTCTTTCGAAATAATTTAGAAAGAACGCGGCTTGAGTCTGGACGCAGGGGAAGTTTTTTCGGGAAAAGGCTACTTTTCCTGAAAAAACCCCTGAGTCTGGACACGGCCTTACTGAGGAAAACAGAAACTCTGTCCAGTCCGTGTGCAAGTGCATCTGGGCAGTCCTGGGGCTTCTGAAAAGCATCACAGAACCACCTGGTATCGGATGCCCAGGAGATAACAAATGGGCCTCCAGTATCAACGCCTGAGTCTGTCTTAACAGAGGGCCCGTCGTAATGAGCTTGTTTTCCCAGGGCAGATAGGGATGTAATAGTGTAGTTGATTAACTGATTAGCCAATAAGCAAAAGCTTATAAGTTAATGCTATAGACTACGGCTGTGTCTACACTGCACCCCTTTTCCAGAAAAGGGATGCAGATTAGACACATCGGAATAGCAAAATCCACGGGGGATTTGCATTAACATGGCTGCCGCTTTTTTCCGGTTTGGGGATAAGCCGGAGAAAAGCGCCAGTCTAGACGTGATTCTCCGGAAAATAAGCCCTTTTCCGGAGGATCTCTTATTCCTACTTTGAAGTAGGAATAAGAGAT